CTGCCCTTAATGAGGGAAGAGCCTCTCACCTCAGAGCCTGGGAGAGAGCGCTGGGTGCAGGCCAGAGGGTCTCCCTTTGTGCGTCCAGGCCTTTAAAACACCTTGGATTTATTGTGGCTCTTAAGTGGGCCAGGCTAATGGCTTGGCGTGGGTAATGTCTTTGTTTAATTGGGTGTTGTGAAAGCTGCTTGTTTCTATGGTGGAATCCCTTGTCCCTGCCTTTGGAGCAATCCCTCACAGGTTCCCTGAATCAATACAGCCCTCCGTCAGGGCCCGTGATGGGCAGCCACTGCACTGGGGAAGCAGCCACCTCACAGGACTGCCCCATCCGCGGGGAACCAGGCTCTGACACCCAGGGGCCTGCTCCTGGCAACATTACAACTGGGGTTCTGCTGTGTGTTCCTGTGTCGCCATGTGCTAGTGATGCCTCTGTTGATAACTGACCCCTGAGAGAGTCTTTTCAAGGTTAAGTTCAAAGGGTAGAAATGGAACTGACAAAGTCAAAAAGTGACCCCTTCTGTAGAAGCAGAGGGAGCCAATCAGAGCAACAGGTAGAGTCATCCAGAGCCAAACAAGGCGCTGAGGTGGGGGGGCCGCCAGGAGGGAGGACAACCTTTGCAAAGGAAGGTGACATTTATATTTCTGCGAACAAAGAGCCTAGATGATCCTAATTCCTATTATGACATTTTTTCCCAAGGTCATGATATTTTTCTTAAGTCTTCCTAAATCTTTTGACCTTAAATATATTTTGTTCCTATTCTCTTCTATGGTGTGTGAAATATCCGAGTGGTCGGGAAGCTGTCTTGGAGCTGAGCACACTATGTTGGGGTTACCTGTTTTTATGTCCGTCTACCTGCTATGGTCCATGAGTGTCTTGGAGCGGGGACAGGGACTTACTTGTCTGTGCGCCTCAGAGCCCGACATGGCTCCTGACAGAACATGTGTGCTTCATTGATGTCAAATGAATGCTCCCAGGAAGATTAAGGAAAAAAAAGCATTTAACTGTGAAGCTCTATCTTACTGATTGATGTATACATCTGTTATTTTTATGTACTCTTACGTATCTGTATCATATGTATAATAACCAAAAGGATTTCATACAGGAGGAATATCAAAAATCAAGCTTTCTGAAATACAAGTTACAGTATTTTTAAGTGGGATGGGCTAGAACACATCTGAAATTATAGTACCTAAACCCTAACAATATGGACAAAAAAGCCCGATTAACCTGTCAAGTGGACTTGCTTCTTCTGTCTTCTGACACAGAAGTTATATATGGGATTTGCTGAATGCGGTAAGTCACCTGTGACTTATGTATGGTTTTAGAGGATTTTAGTTGTCAAGGAGTTTTTTATACTTTACCTGTAATATCTTTAATTTCCACTTTAATATTTTTTTAATTTGGGTTTTGGTTATTGTCTTCTCTTTTACTTTGTTGTTTCCTTGAAGTTGAACATCCTGAGTGTGATGATCCTAGTTGCTACTTTTCAGGAAACACAATTAATTTAGGTTTGATAAGAATCCTTTGAACTGAGTCTTGTACTGCTGGGCTGATTTCTCCCCGAGGTGACAGTGAAAGGTCAACTGGCTGAACCAGCAGTCTCCACAACGGAGCTTGCACACTCCACCCAGGCCCAGCGAACTATGGGGCAAAAATAAACTAATATAAGTTTTCTGTGTTTGTCTTTGCTCATGCTTTTAACTTTTATATTTTATAATAATAACATATTGATATATTGATATAGGCCTATAATTTATAGGGAAACATACAAAATGAATGCTTGCTTTTTTGATGGATAGACATGTGCAGCCACCCATGTTTAGAGAGCTCTTCTGTAAGCATGGGTGCTGTACGCATGGACTCTGTATGCATATGGGCAGTTTGCCTTTCACCAGGGTTGATGTCTAGTCAAAGGGAAGAAAAAAGTCAGGTTCCTCTCAGCTCTGTGCAGCAGTACTGCGTCATTCCTGGTTGGCGGAGAGAGGGAGAGTTTAAGAATATGGGAAGTATGTGTTTTCAGGTCTCATTGTCCAAATGGCACTTTATGTACAGCATAGGGGATATAGTCACCAATTGTAATAACTATGTGTGCTGCCAGGTGAGTACTAGACTCACAAGGGGATCACTTCATAAATTATAGAAGTGTGTAGCTGGTATGCTGCATACCCAAAACTGATGCAAAATAATATTGAATATCAATTGTAATTAAAAAAAAGAATTAACTACAAAAGTGAAATTAAGAAATAAAGTGAAATGACACTTTACTTGGACTTTCTCTGAAAAGAGGACTCAAGCCAGCCCACTCACTTTCCCTGCTAGAGAGAACTCTTTACCACGGTTTGAGCTCTATGCCGACGCCAAGGATTGACTCCATCCCAGACTTTGTGCTAGAAACGTGGTATTAGATTTCTTGACTTCAGGGTCATGGCCAATAGGTCATTTAGGTTTTTTTCAACTGTCTTCCCTACAAGAAAACTGACAATGCTCTCTATATCCTCTGCAATCTACGTTGATTGTAGGAATAGGGTGTGGATTATACATTGCTGGGTACAATTACCTCCCGGAATACAATGCTTCTTCTTTCAGACATCCCAGGGAGATAATTTGGACATAATGAAGATCTATAGTAATCAGATAATTACTATCGATTGCTCTTTAGACGTCTTGATGAGGTAATTAGGGTATACTGGAAAGAAGCTAGAACTGATTGATTGGCATGACTGTAATCTCAAAGATTTCTAATTATGTTTCTTTTCTTCTAATGGCTTATAAACAAACATCATTTTAGCTTTAGAATTTGTCAGGTGCCAGGTTCACTGGGAACATCAGCTTTCTCTATTATGCTAACTAGGCACTGAACATGAACATGATCAACATAAGCTCATTATGCCTTCCTGTTGAAGCAGAAGAAACTGTAATTAACCCTCCCTTTCCTTATTTGTCTTCATGTCTTCATTTCCACATGGCCAGGTTCTTGTCCAGGAATGGAGTGTAAAGTGTTGTGGGAGGGAGGGCCAGGAGGAGCATGTGTGACTCCGGGGGAAGGGTGGATGTACAGGCTCCTGGGGACCCTCTCAGCCTGCTGAGCTCAGGCACAACAGAGGCAGGGCACAATGACACAACATATGTGTCCTGGTGGTCAACTGCCTGGTTGGGGGCCGGCTGACTGCCTGGTTCGGGGCAGGATCCTGTCACAAGTAGTATCTGCTCCTCAGCCAGCGAGACTGAATAATCCCAACCTCAATATTCTCAAGCAGCTGGACCATGCTTGTCTTTCCATCAAAGTGCTGTTGCCTTATCTCTTCCATTAGACACTAATTAGAGGAATCCCTGTCTGAAGCCATTCCATACTATCGTAATATTTCCTACACCTTATAGGACCTTTCAGCAGCTTGCATTGTTCAGAATAGTGACCTGACTCAGAGATGATGGATGCTGAGCACCACTAAAAAGCAGCTTAAAATGAGCTGTTGATATCTAATCAATGATGTGGGTGAGCACTGCACTCACTGGACTACAGTCTGGTTCCCATACTCACAGTTCTCCACGGTGACCGTTCTGTGCTTGGTACCCTGGTAGGTGCCCAGTGCATGTGTGTGAAATGGCCTGTGTTATTGAACCCCATGTTTTCAACTGAAATCTCACCAAAGAAGAAATTATATTTTTATAAAATCCAGTACTTTCTTGAACTCCTATTTAAAAAAGAAAAAAGAAAGGTCACATAATACCTACATATGTGTATCACTGACACTGTAAGCACGAGGGGAGCAAAGTGTGCACAGGGGTGGTTCCGACAGCGAAAGAAACCCAGGATATTTTGTTTGTTGATGACTTGTGGTTAGATGCTGTTTGGATAATTGCAACTGTAGTTGGATATACTTCATTAACTCCCATTAACTAGCTTGAGGAATGGAAATATATATAAAATTTGTCTTTGTTTTACATCTTTATAGTATAAGTAATGTTATATAAGAAATTTTTTGATCAGCCACATTTCTTGAGAAATGAGGTATTCTTTTTAAAATGAAACTTGGCCTGGCGAGGTGGCTCAGTTAGTTGGAGCACCGTCCCATGCACCAAAAAGTTGCAGGTTCAATTCTCAGTCAGAGCACATGCCTAGGCTGCAGGTTCAGTCCTCAGTCGGGACACATACGAGGTAGGGGTGCGGCGACTGATTGATGTCTGTCTGTCTGTCTGTCTGTCTGTCTCTCTCTCTCTCATTCCCTTCTACCCCCCCCCCCGACTTATTCTCTCTCTGAAATCAGTGAACATATCCTTGGGTGAGAACTAAAAAAATAATAAAATAATTCAATTTAATATGAGTAACTGTTTGTTTCAATAGTTGGTGCTGAGAAACCTTCCTAATCTCCATCAGTGTATTTTTTTCTAATAGGACATATAGTGAACATATTTTAACTTTTTTTTAATAATTTGAAATCCTGCAATGGATAACTTTAAGGAAAATTTTACTATTTTATTTCTATAGGTAAAGAAACTACAAAAGTTAAGAAAAAAAAAAGGCCCGAAGCACATTCTAAATTTTTGTTCATGCGCTGGTTTTATCAAGTCCAAGACAGAGGGTTATTTTCTAGTTATTTGCTCCTTTCCTGTAAAGTTCCTTGAGGACCATCTTACTTATCTATTTATATTTTTACCTATTTTCTTCTTTTATCTGGGTGTTTTCCATTTGGGGTTCTTATGGTTATTTTACTGTAGGTGAATAAGTATTCCACCTGTTTATTGGGGAGTGCAGGCTGTACTGAATTTGTCCCCAGCAGTGTGTCTGCTGAAGAATAGCTGATGGTCAGTAGGATCCAGTCGCACGCACACTGGCAGGGGCTTCAGCTGAATGGTCTAGAGGCTGCAGAAGTGGCCGCCACACGTTGCGCAAGTTAGCAGGGTTGGGGGGAGGCACAGTGGGAATGCTCATTTGATGAGAGCGCTGATGGAAGTGATACAACTCAGTAATTTGCTTTTGGTTTTGGGCCTGTCATTGCAGGAAGTTTTGCAGCTTGAGAGACAGATGGGAGGACAGCTCCTAGAGGAACCTAAGGCTCTTCATTTCAAAGGCAGCACCCACAACCTGCGTCTGTCCATTCACGACATTGCCCATTCCCTCTGGAAGAGCAAACTGCTGGCTAAGTATCAGGTAAGGTTTTCAAGATGAACTAAAGGTTTGGAGACAATGCCATGGAAGAGAACTAAAATTATTTGGACATAAGATACTCCTTTCTTTGAAGTTGACTGTACATATATCAGCACTTTTTTTCTCCAAAATAATTTGGGATTGTTTCATATTTTGAAAAATACTCCAGACATATTTGAGGGGATTTTTTTTCTTAATTCTCCTTCAAATAATTGAACAATCATTATGTTATTTTTTGCAAAGAAGACTTCCAAGGTCATCATTACATTTTCAGGGTAAATGTTTACATTGAATTGATTTTAAAAAGCCTCACAATGCCTTCCTAAGAAAAACAGATCACTGTAATCCCACGTGACACAAATTGGGCTTCCACATTGCTAGGAGAGTGCTTCTACTTTGAAAACTTAGAAGGAGCCCCAGTTTTGAAACTGAATTAGCCTGTAAAAATAAAACCTGGTCAGCATTTTAGTAAATCTTAGCATATCGATCTCAAGTCCCATTGTATGTTCCTGTGGGCAAAGCATAAGGACTCTCCAGGGGTTTCCACCTCCACCCCCACCAGTCAGCTGAGTTCCCAGGAGACTGTGTAACGGGATCGGGAGCCTCAGCCCCAGTCCCAGGGGATGGAGACACACTTGGCTAAGCGGTGAAGCCTGGTGTACACCCACGCAGACCCAGCCCCATGCCCTCGCACCGCAGCTGGACTGGTTTCGGTGTCCCGGTATAAGTCAATGAGTGTACTCAAAAGCGAGAAGAGAAGATTTTTCCAACTCACTTCTTAGTCTTATAGGTCTTGTAGTAGTCACATCTACCTTGTGGGAGGAACAAACGTACTAATTTGACAACAGTCTCGAGCTTCAGTGGGGGTTGCATGCCAGGCTCTTCTTTATCAGTCAACACTTGATTAAGAAATCTGGCTTTTAACTTTCTCATTAAAACTCTTCCTTTGCTTTCTTCTTCTCTCTATTTTGCAACTGTCATAAAAGTCCACAAATCTTTCCCTTTCATGAACAATTTCCTTTGTGTAGTCATAATGGGAAGAAACTGCTTTTATAATAATGATAATCCGCTATTAGTGCAAACCAAGCCTGGCTGAATTCTTACCCTCCGCCAGACATTCCTGTGCCTCGGTTCATCTCATCTGACCCCAGCCAAGTAGGACGTAGGTGCTCTTTTTCTTACACTTTCACAGATGAGGAAACTGAGGCATGGAAAGGTTAAGTAACTTGCCACAAATCACCAAGTAGGTGAGGGGAAGGTGTTCTCCTCATTTGTACTTAATCCTGTGCTTTTAACCACCGTGATCATCCATTTTTTTTTTCTGTGTTGACCTTTTCTTTCCTTTATTGAAAAAAGATTCTAGCACGGGCTCTGTAATGTGCTCTGGAGTTTTTGAAAACGTGTCTGTTAGAGGCTTGGTGCCTTGTAGGGCAAAGACGTCCCTGCAGCAGCTCACCGAGCCTGCAGTTGCAAGTGCAGTGCATGCTGCCTTTCCCTGTCCCATGCAGAGGGAGGGTGCAAGCATGAAAGGGAACCGGACCAGCCCGTTAGCCCTTACAGCTTCTTTGCTCGTCTCCAGAATACCGCAGCAGGGATTCCTTTTAATGAGCAATGACTGGAGTGTGTGGGTTTTATTTAAACCATTTACAATGGTTTGGGGTTTTGTTGTGTTTGTTTGTTTGGTTTTTTTTTTTTTTTTTGGTAAATGAGAGACAAGTGACAGATCAGTAAGGTATATGCACTCTGGAGACTGATTCCCTGGGTTCGAATCTCAACTCTGCCACTTACTAGCTGTGGGGTTTGGGCTGACTTATTTAACATCTCTGGGCCTCAGCGTTTTCATTTGAAAAGGAGTTTGGGACGTAATTATAGGTAGGCCTGTTCCTAGGATTAAAGGAGTGATATGTATAATACTGAGAAGAGTACTTGGCAGCCCAGTATCTGAGAATTACTTTTAGTATTAGTCACTCATGGGTGGTTAACACTTTTATACCCTTTAGGAGATTCCTTTTTACCATATCTGGAGCGGGTCTCAAAGAAACCTCCACTGCACATTCACTCTGGAAAGATTCAGCCTGAACACGGTGGAGCTGGTCTGCAAACTCTGTGTGCGACAGGTAGAAGGAGAAGGGCAGATCTTCCAGCTAAACTGCACTGTCTCAGAGGTAAGAAGCTCTGAGAGTCTCGGAAATCAGGACACAGAATGACCGACCGTGGGGAGGAGGGGCAGTGTGGAGTATAAAGGTATCTCCACAGAAGCCACATGGGAAGTCCTGAAAAGCTTCCTTTAGGTCCTATTTGTTAATAAAACATTAATATTTTAATGAACATGGGGATCTAGATACATAAAAAAATATAATAAGGAACCATTTTGAAAATGAAGTCTTTTACTTTTCATGACATGAATTTAAGGATCATGTTCTAACTTTTTACAACAGATGTGCATTCCAAATGTAAGGTTTAATTGAAGTAATGTGCACGCGGGGTAACTTCTCCCAAAGCATGCCTTGGTGCGCTACCTTCCTGCCTCCTCCGCCCCTCCTCCCCGTCCCCTCCACCCTCGGGGACCTCGCCTGCCTTAGCCTAATCTGCACAGCCCACTGCGATGGAGGAAGAGAAACCGGCCTCTGCCCCCACGCCTCCTTTTTTCTTCTCTTCCTTTTTCTCCTTGTAGGAAAAGGACATCTCTTGGTCTCCTTTGTCTCTTATATATTATTCTCCAAATATAAGAAGATATGCTAGAGACAGGGCTGGGTGGGTGGGAAAAATGGGTGAGGGGGTCAAAGGTACAAATTTCCAGTTCTGAAATATTAAACCTGGGGATGTGCTGTACAGCATGGTGACTGTAATTAATAATAAGGTATTGCATATTTGGAAGTTGAGAAGAGAGCAGATCTTAAAAGTCCTCATCACAAGAAAAAAAAAAGGTAACTATATATGAGCGTAGATGTTATAACTAGACTTACTGGGCCGATCATTTCACAATCTACACAATATTGGATCATTATGTGGTACACCTGAGACAGATATAATGTTATATGTCAATTATACCTCAACAAAGTTAATAATTTCTTAAAACAGATGCCCCTTTCCCCACGGTGGGAGAAATGTTCCCGAAATAAAAGTAAAATCTATGCATTTCTGCCTAGTTTCCAGCACTTTGCCTTTCTCTGCTGTGATCTTCACTCAGTACAGTTGGGTGCTTTTATATGTTCCTATTACAGAAATAACAGTCAGCACTGCTATTTATAACCTCTCTGTGTGAAAGAGGAGGTGCACATGAACGTATCAGCTCCCTTGGCCCCCAAGGCTGTAGTGCGAAGAGTGGAAATCTTTCCTGCTGGAGGAACAAAGGGCGCAGAATAAGCACAGTGGTCAGAAGGCAGCATCATCCGGGGCCTCTTGGGGCTCAGCTCCGTGCTCTTTGCTGAGCCACAGAGCACAGGGTTGCCTTATTTTAACACGACAGCGGGACAGCATATGATTTAAAAGAAGACTTCTTGCTCTCTGTCTCATGCACAGTGACGAATGAAACGTCAGGATGTTCCGCATGTCTCGCTCCCCGTGCTGTATTTAAAGACTGCCTTCCTTAGCAAACCAAGGGGGGAAGCGCATCAGCCTCCGAGATGCTCCATCCCTCTTTCCCACAGCCTGCCCGGGTGCGGTCATCATTTCTTCCTGTAGTTTCATGCGACTTCTGACTCATAAACAACTTTAGTCACAGACCCCGGTGACATTCAGAAGGAGCGAGCTCGGTGGCAGGGTGCCATGGCAACCGCCAGGCCTTCCCTCGGCGCAGGCCCTATCTCCCAGGCTCACAGCACCACCCCTGCTGGCTCCAGAGGGTGTTTTCACTTTCCTGGCCCAGCAGGTCTGCAAAGTTCAATAACCACCCAGCTCCAGGGACAACAAAGGCTGCGGAATTTTGGAGGGGGTGAGGAGGTCTGGTCCTTTGATGCTTGCTTTCTGTTCTGCGGGGACGTTTGCTGTGTGATGAGAAGGTGGATCAGATGCAGCAGCGAATGAAAGGGAGCCGTTGGGGGCTCCATCCTGCTAGGTCCGCCACCCCCTCCCTCTGCAGGGAGAGACAGTTTTGCATAGTGTGATCACCATGTAAGGACTTTCTTTCTTGCACCAGCATTGAGGAAAAGGTGATTTCTTTTGCGGCCTGGCCATGCTCAGCTCAGACGAGCCTGCCCTTCAGTCCTGCCAGAGGCCTTTGCCCCTGTGTGTTAACAGAGGGAGGGGCAGAAGTGCCCCGAGTCAGATGACTTTGGGGATTAAGGGGCACTCTGCCGCTTTTTCTTCTGGGTCACTGAGTCCCGCCATGGTTGTTAGCATTTGAATGCGGTGCAGGCGGCCCACCGAGGGGGGACCTGTGGGGCTGTGCTCTGAGGTTGGGGAGAGAGGCTCAGCTCTGAACAGCTAGTTAGCTCTGGGGAGCCCTGAGACCCAGATCCTCATCAAAAGCTCTGAGGAGGGGTACACTGTGACTGACAAACCGTGACCGAACAGAGAAAAGGCTCCATTTGTGGTCTTACTTCTCACAGGGCTCTTTCCTCAGGCACCCGGTGAGCTGGCAGGTGGACGCGGTTGCAGTTGCAAGGTCCTTTCCCCCAAAATGGGCTGAATAGCCAGGAATGTGCTGCTCCCCTGCCCCCAGCCACCCACCTCTCAAGACTCTCACCAGCAGTCATTTACAAAGCGGCATTGCCCTTGGCCCCTCAGGTCCGGGGAGTCCCCGATGTCCTCCAGGGAGACCGGGCGGTGCTTGACGTAGACCATGGTGATGTCAAGAGCTGACCAATTTTTCTCTCCAAGTGCTTTGGCCAGAACAGGGATTCCTTAACTAGAAACAAAGCCTTCGGGCTCACAGAGATGAAGTTTAAGAATGAAAATGTGTGAAAAGTATGGATATGAATGAATATCACAATGTAAATGCTAATAAAAGGGGTTTTTTTTTAGAGGGATGGAGGAGTAATGATGGGGAAGCGCCCCATCACCGCCAAGAGAAAAAAATAGTGTAAAGAAGAGAAACTTATAGTCTCTTCATGCCTTTAATTTACTTTTCGCTATAGACAAAGACCTTATAACCCCTGTTAATTATTTATACATGACACTTTTGTGTACACAGAGAATAATATTAAAAATGTACCAAGTAATATCACTCTGCTGTACTCATTCCATCTATTGGCCTCTTCTGTTTTCTACGATCTGTCCAAATGACCATTGGGAAAATCTAGGTTTTCTAAATGATGTCAGGAAGAGTCAGAACCTAGGGGTGGAAAGTTGAACCTGCTGTGGAGCGAGTGCTGAAAATGTGTGCCGTCACCCCTAGCAGCCGTTTGGCTAATGGGGAAAAATCATATGCTTAAGGGACTCACAACATCAAAGACAGATGGTACCAATATCATCAACGCTTATTGTAGTAAGTATTCTGCGAGAGTAAACTCTACTTTTACCTGGAAGTGAAGGAAGAATTAATAGCAACTGAAATTTACATGTAAATGTAGAACGCTATTTTTCTGTCACTTCCAAGGCTATTGTCAGCCATCTGAGAGAAAGGCAAGACATGCTGTCCTACTGAGCTTGTCTCAGCCACACAGAAGTCAACGTAGCCCTAGCCGGGGTTAGAGACTCAGGGCTGGAAGGTCCACGTGATGTGGTGATGGTTCTCTATTCAGTTGGAAAAGGAACGCCACAGGACCTGTGAACAGACCTTCCTGAAAGCCACGCCCACCTTTAGCAGTGAGAAGAGCCATACTCTTAGCGACATTTAGTTGGAAGGAAGCTCCACCCGCTTCTCTGTGGTGTGGGCTTCTGTCAGAAACTGGTTTCAGCCCATTTCAGTACTAGGAAAAATATTTTCTTTCACTTTAGCAAATATGAACTGAGTATCTTCCATGTGCAAGTCACTGTGCTCAGTATCATAGGAGTTCTTAAGATAACAAAAATGTTCTCATCTCCAAATTTCGAGCAATCCAAGGAAGTAACACATAAATACAACCAGCACACACAGGGCAGAATATGAGGGCTGCAGAAGAGCTGCGAGAAGCGCTGTAGGGCTCCAGCCGTGGGGTGGGCTTGCTCAGGGGACATGGTTTTGGTCCAGACTGTGAGGGGTTTGCCTGGCAAAGACTAAAGGAAAGGGAAGAAGGACTCTTAGAGGCGGATTCTTAGAGGAGATGCCAGGGACAGTGAGTAGTCCTGTCTGAGGAGAGTTTGAGTCATGTCAAGGCAACCTGAAAGATATCAGGGTCAGATTGTCAGTAGGTGGGAGCCCGCGGGTGTGGGGCCCCCCTCCAAGTCAGCCATGCCTCCGCACTTCATAGACATCGCCTCTGGGACCGCATGCCAGCTGACAGGGCAGATGGTGCCAGTACCCCTCACTGCCTGATTAAAAGCTGGGGCTGCAAGGGGCAGAAGGGCATTTAGTGCTTTTTAATGGGTAAGAGAGAGAAACATCAGTTTGGTGCTCTAGGAAGATCATTGTGGCAGATACGGGTGGATCCCAGGGAAGCCAGAGGGAGTTACTGTGATGAACAGCAAGAAGAACCTCTGAGGCCAGCACTGTACAAACCAGGTCCCTCCCTGTGTGAACTTAACCTCAACTGCCAGCAAGGGACAATCAGGGTGTGGTTGTATTTGAGGGACATGGTGGATTTCCTTCTGGACCCCAGTGTCATTGTCCACACCAGAAGGAAGTAGGACCCCGACCACCCTTTAGTGACTGACAGCACTGCGTTGTGGAAATACAGAGTGCTTTCTCTTGGCCCTCACCTCCCCAGCCCAGACATCCATCGTTCCATGCCTCATGTGAGTGTTGGGCCCTTGGGCTGAGATATCCCCAACATGAATCCATTGATAAACTTCAACAAGTGCTCTCTGGTAACCCGTCTGGTCTCCTTTGTTGAAGCCCCACGCCCCCGAGGACAGGAGCCCTCTCCCCTTGGGGACCCCTGGAAGAAGCTCTGTGCCCAACGCCGGGAGGGATCTGTGGGTCGTGCCCTCCCTCAGGGACTCCAACTCCCATTTTTGCCTCCGTGTTTTATACCAAGTCTTTTAAATCCTGGCACGTGCTGCTGGAATCCTGGGAGTCTCAATTTGCCAAGCTTTGGATTCTGAGGCTAAATACTGTGATGTGTGTTACCATCACAGTATTTACCATTGTGTGTACCACTGTGTGTATTACTGCAAAAAACAGAAATTGTTTCACGTGCGGATGGACCCTGTGCAGCGGGATTAGACAGACCTAGCAGCGGGCCTTGGCTGCTGATTGCGGAACGCAGGACACACTGTCAGTCAGCACTGGAACACAGACAGCAGCGGCCCCCACGGTACAGGAGCAGCACGGTCTGGGGGCTCTGGGCACTGGTGGCACTGCCTCCTGAGCTGAGCGCTCTGCAAGACACCAGACACTCCTTGATGCTGAAACTGTGTGTGGCTAGTTTATCTTCTCACAACTAATTATGTACACTAAGGAGTTACCTGCTTTGAGAGAGAGAGAGAGAGAGAGAGAGAGAGGTGACATTTAAAGTAGATTAAGGAGATTCTTCTGTTATTGCTTTAATAGTTCCCTGGCAACATTTGCTTTTGCTTTTCCAACCAGCAGAAGATCAGAAAATGATTAGAGTTTCTCCTACAGATGAAATTCGGATTTTGCATTTGTGCTGTTTTATGAGCCGAAACTATTTTAAGAGCCAATTTCTGGTTTTCTCTACTAAAATTAGATTAAAAAATAAGGGTGTACAGCAATTGGAGGATACCATTAGCAGCTTGCCCTAAGGCAATATACTGTGTTCACCATTTTTTTCCCAAAAAAATCAGTCTTAATTTGATATCATTTAGAGGAGAGTTGTGTTCCATTTCATCCAACAAAAGCAGAACCGCCTTCTGCAAAGGTGCGAGCAGGAGTTTCCTTGGACATTTGCCTTGGGCATTCCCCTCAGGGTCAGACAGTTTCTGGAAGTTCTGAACTTTTGGCTTTCTAATCTCAGATCTCTTCAAGATCTGTTCACCCATAAATCCAAGGCTATGCAAAGTTCGCTCAAAGTGTCCCTCTTCCTCTCAGCCACGTTACAGATAGCTAATCACAACCTTCAGCCAGGAAGAAGCCATTCTTACTAAGAAGAATAATAGCACCCATTTTCTTCTTATCGCTCAAAGCAAGGCATTCTGGTGGTTGGCTCAATAGGGACTGTTTTTGTCTTCCGAAATAATACTTTGTTGTTCTTGTGCCTGAACTACAGGAACCTACGGGCATTGATTTGCCTCTGCTGGACCCAGCGAGCACCATCACCACCGTGACAGGACCTAGTGCTTTCAGCATCCCTCCCCCTATCCGGCAGAAGCTCTGTAGCAGCCTAGATGCCCCACAGACGAGAGGTCATGACTGGAGGATGCTGGCCCATAAGCTAAACCTGGACAGGTAGGTATAGCCAGGGTCCCGGGACTATTTCCATAGACGTAGGGGTCCAGGGTGATGATGATTAGACTTTTTTTTTTTTCATCCATACATCTACTTACTTTCTGCAAACATGCATTAAGCTTCTTCTTTGTATCTTGCACTGTGGTTTTGCAATCACATTGTTGAGAAACAGTCTGGGCTTATCTGACATTTACAAGCAGTATCAAGTCTTGTGATCCACTCTGCAAAGCCGATGGGCTAAATCCCCCTAAGTAACACATCCACTCACTGAAGTAATCATTGTTCTCCATCTCCTGTGGAGCAGGACTTAAAGCTGGATGAGTCACCAATATGCAAAACACAGCATCGACATTCAGTTACAAAGAGACCTCAGAAACCTCTTCTTTGTAAAATGTTGCCATCACTACCAAGCAAAAGAGATGGCATGGCCTGTCAAAGATGATCAGAGCCTGAGCTGGAAAGAAAACATAAGTCTCTTGATTTCCTGCTTAAGATATGACCCACACACATCTTGCCTCTTAAATTATCTTACTCAGAGTTGAGGTTAACAAAGTTAAACATTACATGTCCTATGCGGCTCTGATCTAATTAAGTACGGGCTAGTTTTTGAGGAAGGTTCACTGTAAGCCACAGTTTCTCTCTCAGATAGGACACAGATACGTAACAGGCAAATGGAGAGACAAGAGGGATAAGTAAAGAAAAAAGTAGATCCGTAAATCACACATTCAGCACATTTGCCCATTCCTAATTACAGGTACTTGAATTACTTTGCCACCAAATCAAGCCCAACTGGTGTGATCCTGGATCTTTGGGAAGCACAGAACTTCCCGGATGGAAACCTGAGCATGCTGGCAGCTGTCCTGGAAGAAATGGGAAGACATGAAACAGTAGTGTCTTTAGCAGCAGAGGGACAGTACTGACCCACGCTGGGACTGACAGTGAAGGACAAGAATGCACAGGGAGTCCGTGGCCGTCCAGGGGATCACAGCTGAGGAGGAAATCCAGACTAGACCAATGAGCTTCACAGGCAAGAAAGCAGCGGGAGAGAGAAGGAAACCAGATACAACTACCGATATCCACGCCCTCTTTACTGGGACATCATCACAGGAGTTAAGAACAATCGTGTACATTTGTACCTTGAATTTAGAAACCAACCTAATTTTCCTCTTTGTTGGGCTGTATGCTGTGTGGTACAGGATCTTACAGTTTCCTAGGAAACGCTTTTTATTGCTATCCAGATATATGGATAAACTTTCTTAACAAAACCCAATTTCTACAAACGTTGTTTACATCAAATTGGACAGGGATGCAGACACTGTCCATGGCTCGTTCTATTTTTGTTTAAATCATTTGAAGTTGAAGCTGTGGACGGTTTGTTGTGTCTATTTCAGATTAGTAATTTACAGAGAAATCACAGACTTTTGCTACGAATCATGTGCATCAAGTGTCTCAGATAATCCTCCCATCAGTGTTCTGTTTCTAGAACGTGTAAAACCAGTGTTACTGTTTGTATCAGGGAAGTGGAGAATCTAAGTGTAAAGGAGAAATAATGAAGACTCCTTATTCCTTGAGGACTCCCTTCCCGTGCCCTCTGGGAATAAAGCTCTAGCAGTGCAGGAAGGACAGTGATTCATGATCAGCCACACAAACAAGCATTTCTTGATAAAATGTGTGTTTGTAATATGAGATTTGAATTGTTTTTCTAAAGGTATCATTATCATTGTTATTATCGAGTATTTACAAGTATTCTAGTAAAAGAATTTTCTTTTAACTTCTGTTTTTGTTAGCAGTACTGTTAGTATTTAGGTATTGACTAGACCTGCCTCACCTTCTCCCATAACTAGGTGGGCGTGGTCACCAGTTTAATTAAACAGGCATTGCTTCCTTGGCCTTTTATCCTTTCCCATCAGTCTGCCCCAGAGGTAGTAAATGCTTGCAGACTTTGTCAGTCTGTTCTTTCAGCTTGCTCAGGCAGCGCCTTTCTCCTCTTGCATCTTCATGAGAAGCATTCTTCAAGTTCACTTAATACAGGGGTCAGAGGGCCCCCCATTGTCTCCCCTCAGCACCCTGTCTCCCTTAGAGGCAGTGTGGCTGGAGGAACAGCCTCTGAACTGGAAATCAGGAAACCAGTTCTCATTTTGGGTTTGCCATTGTCTAGCTGTGCTATCTGGGGAGAGTCATTTAACCTCACTAGACCTCATTTTTCCCACCTGGAAAACGAAGGGATGGGATTAGATGCTCTCAAGGTTCTAAAATGCTGAACCCCCACTCCAGCCTCGCTCACCAGTGTGGAGACCGCAGTGGCTCAGCACTGGATCATTTCAAGATCCATAAAAGCTAGACTCTTGTCCAGGTGACATTATGCCTTTCGAATAGTTCCAACTTGGAAGACAGTATTCTAACCTGTAACATATTTGTTATGCTTTCAAGTCCTGTCTTTGTGTCATAGAACTACGCTGTTCACCGAGAGATGGCATCCCTTTATTATCACTTCCTTTCCTCTTTCGGGACCATTTGCCTTCCTGGTCAGCAGCAAATTATGTTCTATTATTGTCTTGATCAAAATTTTTTAAATTAAAAAAAATTTTTTACTGAAACATAGCTCATCAAGAGACTACTTGGTGTAAACTATGATATTTCCTTCGGACCATCACAAGCTCTTTGTTTTAACACAGGGACTCAATTCATTCAGCAGGTGGGGAACAGAGAGTCAGCAGCCCAGTAGCCAAACTAAGACTGAAAAACAAGGACCCATGTGTATGAATAAGAACCTTCAAAACATGGCTGTGGCTGACTTTTGGGCTAGAGGTATCCAGCTTGCTGGCTGGGTTTGAATCAGAAATAATTTCATACGTTTTCTCACTTCTTTCCACATATATCTCCTCTCTTGAGTATTTTGGTGACTTCTTCATATTTCTAAGCCCCACCATCCTCATCATTAAGAAAATACCGATACTTCGGTATAAAGCCTTTTCTTTCACGCCCTTTATTTCTTGTTTTCTGTTTTAGGCACATGTTCTATAATCTGCCTCTCTCAGGCCACCCCCTGCACCATACATAAAAATGTCTTACACATATCATGAAAGGGAAAGCTTGCACTAATAAACAAGTTCAGTGGATAATGCCTGTACCGATGCATATTTGACCATAAGATAGTAAAATTGTTTTCTACATAAAAAAAAAATTTAAATATATATTTTTTAAAATGGAGGAGGATGAAAGAGAGCTATTGTCCATTGCTGCACCTTGAAATAACTTCTCCAGCTTGCTCACCTTTCCTGTTTTAGGGGGTTGTCATATATGGAAATTAAGATTAGAGATCTGAAGGATTCTCAAAGGAACTTCCATGCCTACGGAGAAGGGGAGAGGGGCAAATAGGCAGCTATCCAGATAATCAATTCAAAACTCGAACTAGAAAAAAAGTCATTAAAGAGTCATCAACACAGAAATATTGAGCATAGCAGGAGCTATATTTATCAAGGCCATTGAGGTCCTTTGGCATTCACTTCAGATGCTTCATATTTTTTGGTTCAACATCGCAGCACCAGAAACAGGAAGAGTGGTTGATACTTTATAAGCAAGGTACTTGTCTATCATCTGTTGTAGAATCCTGTTATGTTTTCTATCAAGTGAATGGCAACTTCAATGCATACAACATACCACTTATGTCAAATTATGTTCACTACGAATTCTGATTTCCTTCTTCTTTGGAAAAAAGTAAGAGCTGTTAGTTTGCTCTCAAATTTGGAAGTTCCAGAGCCAACAGTTCATTTCAAGGTAGCCACGTCATCAGCCATTCTGTGTGACCAGCCCTGCCTTTCATGCTTGTTTAGCTTGCGCTGAAAGACAGGCTTACTCCATGTGGAAGGGAAAATGTATTACTTGTACATGGTGCCATCTAGTGGTATATAATACAGTCTATCTTGAGTTTAATAGACAAACTCACTAAAAGTCCACAAAGAGAATGAATTACCTGCAGTCAGTAAGACTTTTATGACACATAGACGTGGGATTTTTTTCACTTGAAATAGTTTCCTTATTCTCACATTTTTTTCTCACTTGAAGTACCCATAACAATTGCATGTCACTATGAGCCTACTACATCATCCACTCATTCATACATAACGCATCTCAAGTTGGCATTTGGTAATAGAAATAATAGAAATACATATAAATCTATATAAAACAGTCTTTGAAGAGTTGTCATTTTAAACACTTACCCTGTGTTTTTCATTGGGCTTTATATATTTTAAGTCTCCATAGTTTTTGTTCTCTGATATTTATTTTTGGAAATGTAAGAAGCATCCACTTGAAATGTTTTATGTAAGAAAATGAGAATCCTATTATATAAATAATTGAAAATTGTGATTGTTAACCCAGGAGAAGAAAGAAGTTTCCTTTCTTCTGAATTTGGGGATCTAAAGGCAGAGGTTTCATCCTGTTCTTATTGTTGGTTGGTTTGTTTTCTCACCACACTCATTCAAATTTCCCTAAAGTGACCTGGAAGGAAGAGTAGTTGGATTCAGAATTGATACCTGGGCACAAGGTGATGCAAATGTGTGGCCCCAAGGTCCTTGCAGCTAACAGCCTCCTCACACCCAGCATGAATACCACAGTGCACACCCGCCACCGTTACACAGAAACCCCCCTCCCTGCAGCCATGTACGCTGTTCCAACATGGCAATATTTTGTGTGAGGCGTCCAATTAAACTGCCTAATCATTGGCCACTTTCATATATACCATCATTTTGTAGCTTTTAATCTCACAGCTTTCAAACAGTAGACCATTTTTAGGGAGACATCGGAGAGGCTGAGTTCAGGACACTCTGGAAAATACACATTCAGTCATATATTTGAATGGTGTTTCTCCAGCATCTTAAAAGCAAGCATTCAGATAGTAGAATCAAGACTTTGTGCTTCTGGAAAGGGGCACACAAGGCTCTTGTCTTATGCACCCTTAAGTGCCCCTGTCGGGGACACAGCTGTGCTCTGGATCCACTTACTCCTCTGTCATCAATGTAGGAGGAAGGGAGCCGATAAGGTGATCGCTCTTTCCCCAGAGTTCACAAGCCTTTATCCCTTTAAGGTTTGCCCCCTGGGATCAAGTGAATGAACACCGTAGGTAGACCTGCAAGAGAGTGTAAAGAAAGTAGAAAGAATTTCCTTGTCGAATTCTCAGTCTTCACGTTGAATGTCAGCTTCGGCTTTTGCTAAGCTGTTGCTCTAGACAAGTTGTCAGTTTCACTTAGAGACCTCAGTACAAATCCAAGGCTGGTGAGAGAAAGAACGACCCAGGAAACTGCTGAAGTGAAATTGAGTTTTATCCATGTCCTTTGAGACTAGAGGAGCTTTTGCAAATCAGTGTCTTTGCTCAAAGCCAGTTATTTACAAAGATAATAATGGTCAATGAGCATTAAAATTTATAGATCCAATAAAGGAAATATTTTTATTATCTCAAGGTGATAAAACTTTTTTTTTCCTTTTTACCTTTGGAGTGCCTCTTAGGAACAACTGTTACACTTTGGGTTTTTTGTTTGTGCTTTTGTATTTTTTTTAACTTTACTGATTGAGCTAATGTTGACTGAAATTCTTTGAAATCTGCCCCTGTGCAGTGAAGTGCTGTTTCCCTACCCTGAGAAATCTATTTGTATAATCTTTCGCTGTAATGCTCATTTTGAAAGATTTCCCTCGTATCTCTAAAGATTTTTTTTAATGGAACAAGGCATTAAGGGGAATAAATACATTGTAACAAATGTTAATTTAAGGCTTTGTCCCTACAGGTCAAGTAAACCAAATGGAGTCGTAAATATTTCCAGAATTCATGCCTGAAAACCTGCTATTTTTCTAAAGTAGGGAGATAGCCTTGTATGTCACTGGGTGGATTTTCCCCACAGACCAAGTCTGACAATGAACCTCCTGGCCCATTAATCGCACCGGTCTTACAGTTGCCCTCATTTTCAGAAATCATGCTCTACAATTTTGTCTTCAGAAGAGTTTGTGGCTCCCAGGTTTTCCAGTGGGCCGGTCACCTCCCTCTCGTGATCTTTGGTGGGGTAATAATGGATTCGTTCAGCCAAATATAATGTATGCTCCAGGCCTATTTTTGAATGGTCGGGGAAAGGATTACCACGATGACAGAAACTCTACAGACTAGCACGCAAAACCAAGCCCTTGTAAGGGGGTATTTCCCATCTCACTGTCCACTGGACTCTTGTGTATTGATGAGATCTGTCCGGAGACCTTCTGGAATCCCGAGTCAGGAATCCATGCAGAATGTCTCCAGAGGCATAACCCCCCAATTGCTGGGTAGAAAGTGTGGACGTTGCCCTAGGATACCGTCAGCTGCCCACCAGCAAAAGCATGTGCTGCTGTATACCAGCCACTTAATGTGCCATTTCAGATTTGTGCCTCAGCAAAACTATTAACTCTCAAGCCCATACCACGACAGGGCCCCTTTCAGATATGCCCAACTCCTATGTGTCAGCATCCCTCACTCCCAAAGGCCTTCTGGTATTGACACTGTCAGCCCCGCTGTTGAACCTGACGGCCCTGACCCTGAGGAACAGCCCTCGGAGCTGGATTTCAGAACCTGAGTCCTGGAGGACGGCGACTCCTTGGCTTCTGAACCTCAGC